TTGACTGACTTGTGACAGCTTACAAAATATGTTTCTCTTTTGATTTTAATTAAAATGAGACCTGTTGTAGTACCAAAGAAATTTCATCCATGTATAACATTGAAAACTATTATCACATTTTAGTAACTTAACACCTTATACCATGTATCAATAACTGTACAGAAGATTGTTGTCACAATTAAATGATGAAAATAAATTATTTTTTTTGGAATGAGTCTGTAATTCTGAAGTATATGTGGTTTTTTTATCCACTAAGCTGGGGCCTGACATGTAGATTTCCACACATCTCATTGTTCACTGGTGAATCATGAATGATGAGAATGCAAGGATTCTGTGGCTTTTGGGGAAGGTATGTTACACGCAGGGTGAGATCGGGCTGCAGGGTTTGTGAAGTGACCTTAGCCAATGCCCTTTAAGCCTATAAGGATTGTGGCCAACCTCATATTGCTCTTCCTCTTATGTAGTAACACATTTTATGGCTTCTGTGAGGATGAAATCAAGCTGGGGGAACTGGCATGTAAATTACTCATAGTGTGTAGGTGCCTTGCAATGGACTGGTAATATCCAGAGTGTCCTATGGCTCATACCCCGTGATATTTGTGATGGGATTTAGGCTCCTGATAGTCGTGTACTGGATGAATGGATGGATGGATAAATGATTGGAGGATGGATGGATGGATGGAGGGATGGATGGATAAATGGTTGAAGGATGGATGGATGGATAAATGGTTGGTGGATGGATAAATGGTTGAAAGATGGATGATGGATGGATGGATGGATGGATAAATGGTTGGATGATGGATGGATGGATAAATGGATGATGGATGGATGGAGGGATGGATAAATGGTTGGATGATGGATAGATGGATAAATGGTTGGAGGATGGATGGATGCAGGCTGAGCACAAGGCATAAGCAAACTAAGCAGCTGTTTCTGGCCCAGCGGCCACCAGCCCCCCCCCCCACCCCCCCTGTCTGATCAGCCTGTCAGAATGGGTGAGGAGATGATGAGACGTTGGGCCAGCCCTGGACGGATGAATGACACCTGGGTATAATGTTGGCAGGTCAGTAGGCAGCATTATGCCATTATTATGCATCTAGCTGTCTGGTTCTTTCCATCTTGTGATGAACTGGCATCCTGTCTAGTGGAACCCGGTGTTTCTGGCAATAAGGTTCCAAGCTCGCTACAACCCTGCATCAGGTTAGAGGAAGACTGAATTACCGCTGTATTACACAAGACAGGTAGAAGCTTCTTGAAATAAGACAAGGTATGGCACCTTTATTTATATAGCACAATTCAGGCACAAAGCGATTCAAAATGCTCTGGGTGTTCTGCAGGATACATTAAAATAAAACATTTTAAAATCGCATTTAAAAGATGAAAAAAAGCATAAAAGGCAAACAAACAAATAAATAGTTAACTGAAAAGAAGTTACATTGTAGTGACAGTGTATGACTAAACTGATTTAATTTATTGAAGTAGGCAGTCTCAGTATTAACTATCAATCATCAAGAATAATTAAATTAAACATTGGGTAACTGGGCAATTTCTTTTGCAGTATATCTGCAAAAGTGGCATTCACCCTTAACGTTGGCAACATAATATCCATTAGATGGAGTAACTGATTCGAGTGCAATAAAAATAAGTACAGTACTTGACATTCATAATTTTGCTGACAGCAATATTCAGTAAAACTTCAGTTACAATAAAACAACAACAACAAAAGACACACATACATCATCTCCAGTACATTATATATGATCATTTCAATCCAGCCCAGTGGGATTGCTTTGGAAACTTCGCTGTCTTTCTTATGCCATTTGAATTAATGTCTTACCCCGAAACCAAAATAATATATGTCAAATCTTTCATGTTTTCTTCTGATCTGCTTTTTTCTCATGCCAGCACATAACCAACGTCACTCCATCTCACCAAAACAGACCGGGCCAGTCGGGCAGCTCTGAACGCCGTCGGCAGCATGAGGAAGCCACAATTATAGAATGCGGGCTTCCTTTCAACAATACCTGGCTGGCACTATCTTTTCAGAGGCCTTTTGTTTTTTTGTGGCACAAATTCCAAATGGTTGTCTGACGCATCTGATGACATTTTATGAGAAACATAATGCGTTTGATAGTACTTCCCTATTCCAGTGGAGGTGATGTGGACAAGGCTCCTTCCCACACACCAATTGTCATAGTTCCAAGAACAGATGAATCTGACAGCCAAACGTGCCGGGTAAAAAAAAAAGAAAAGTCGCTTTATTTTTTTGATGAACTCACGTTCTTATGACTTCCGCAAAACGGTGACGTCAGCTGCCATTTGCTTTTCCGCGGCCCGCCGGCCCTCGCCTCCCAGTCTCGGTTTCTCGGGTCTCACGCCTGCGCTCGTGTTGATGTCACACCCGTACGTGCCCAGGCATCCGAAAGCTATTTTTGGGAGTTATCCAGTGGCTGAGGTCCTGTTGTGGATTTCCCCTGCAACTGGTTTTCCAGTATTGGCTAAGAATGGAGCAAGTATTCGGTGGGATACAGAGCCCCATACACTTTCCTGACATTTATTTACCAGCGAGCAGATGTCCTCATGCCAATGTAGCACACAGAAAAAGCATCCTGCCATTGAGCTCAGGTCCTCAGCCTTATTTACATACATATTGGCACAGAATGGCAGGTCACTGAGAAAACAGCTGTGTGTGAACTTTAAAAGGCTTCATAAATTTAAAATTAAATCTGCAGAGTTGGTGGTCATCAGTCAATGTTATCAGATCATCCCTGCGTGATGATTAACTTGTGCGTGATGACTGTCGACGCACTGAAGACGGTACCTTGACAGCATAAGAATGGATCCTTTGTTGAGGCTGCGGAGTTCAAAAACTCCAGAGTGAATTAACTTTATTGTGGTGAATCTTTAACATGTGACTGGCCATGTCTGACTACCCTGAACGCGAAATGAGGAACTTCAGCAGGGTTTTGCCCACCCTCATTCAACCAATGCAGCTTCGGGAAGCTTGTTTGAATTGATTTCTCAGCCAGAGAATAGCGAGCTACTGATTTGTCTTTATTCAAGAATTTTCTCTCTCAGTTTCTAAGGGAAAAAAATGATTTACTACTTTGGGAAGCAGCCAACATTGTGGCCAATTATTTTTTTATAGCGGCACTCTACACATTGGACACATAAGAAAAGGCCGGTATTCTGATCCTGCTGGCCTGGCCGTGTGGGAGGTGAAGAGAGACAGAGCCTCGCTTTGACTGGCTCCGCGTTTGGGGTCTGGAATTCGTGTGGGCGGACTGCTTTCTGACTGGCAAACCCGGCGAGCTAAAAATAGACAAGATTATAAGCAGCACAGCCCAGGCGCAAAGGCAGCAGATAGCAGAGCTCTCTCTCCGGCTGACGGTCCCCACCATTCGCTTCCCAAAATGAGTGGACTGCTGTTGTTTATATATGTGTCCTGTACATGCAGAGCCATTTATTAGGATGTTTTTGTTAGTTACGACTTATTACTACATGAGTGTTACAGTGTATTTAAACTACACACAACCTGAGATATATAGTGCTCACTAAGACCTATGATGTGTAATTTAAAATAAATATGCAGCATACGGGGGTGCTTCAGTAGCCATGGTTACGGTTAGGGTTAGGGCTGTGGTTATGGTTAGGGTTTTTATTAAACCTTGTTTAGTAAAAATTTAACCTCCCCCCCCTTACCCCTGTTAAAGACTTTTACTGTTGTCACTGAGGTCTATAACTTTTGCTGTCGCCGACCCCCCTCCCCCACTTGATAGACCTCCACACCGTCGTAGAAGATCGCAGGGGAAGCTCTGGGCATGTTACTGTGCTTCTGACTCTGTGTAACTGATAAAAAAAAATGGACATGTAGAAGAAATATTGCTTCCTGTATAGTTGTGTGTTGAACTAAGACGAGGGGGGGGCACAGTGGGGGGGCTGATGGCATAGCAAGCTGGGAAGACCTGCTTCTGGACCTGCTTCTCCCCATTTCCTGTCAGCCAAGCGAAGGTTCATCTGCCCCCGCAGACTGTGCCAGCGGGCTTCTCCTCGCCGAGCTCCTCTCCAGGAAGCCGACTCCACGTCCTGCTACAAATCAGAGTGAAATTCGAGCTGCAGCTGCGGTTTGGCTGGGTGGGGTGCGGGTTCAAATGTTTTTATTAAGACCCCTGTCTTTAATTTCAAGACGATGATGGTCATCCAATCTGGCACGCCAAGAATGTCCGTATGAAAACTGCAATTACACGTGAGCTACGGCAGTCGTGAGAAAGACACTAGCAAAAGGCAACTCTGTAGCTACAATGTCACGATTCAGTCATCTTTCAATTCAAATCCACCCGTCAATATACCTATCAAACATAACTGCTTATCCGGTACTAGGCTCTGGGGACTCTGGATAATATCCCGAAAGATACAAGGCTGGTAAAATACACCATAGATAAAATACACCAATTTACCTAATCACATGTTTTTAGATTGTGAAAGGAAACCCACACTAATTTGGTAGAACATGCCAATCATTACATCAAGTTGTTGGTTGCCCCTTATAACCCTGTATTGCTAAATAATGATAATGCTGCCAATCCGAGTCACACGAGTTCACTATTGCACTTTAATTTGTCTTTCTTCCATCCATTTTCTGTGCCCACTTGTTATATGCGGGGTTGTAAGGGTCTGGAGCCTATCTCCGGAAATGACGGGTGTATGGCTGAGAGAAAGCCAGGATGGGTTGCCAATCTATCACTTGATATTCATCTATATTCTATTTTGTACCTTTGGTGGATGCATATAGAGCTCAGTTGCAAATGTAGAGTGACACACTTCTTCTGTTAAGTGATTTCAAACCATAATGTGATACAAAATATCTGAATAACAAAAAAAGGAGAAGCCCAAATGATTTATTTTACACAGCCCTGCTCTAAAGATCTAAGTAGCAAATCGAACGTCACTGATAACTGTTCACAGGCACAGACTATAAGCACGCAACAAGAAAGACAACATTGTTATTGACATATTTATTTAATTACAGAAAATGAACAGGACATAGCCAACTGTCACCAGGGAAAAGCTGGGCAGCGGACCACGAAAATACATCACAGATCACACTTAATACATATATTAACAACCTTTACAAATACCTATACATGAAGTGCAATGCAAAACTAGTGCCTAATTGCTAAAGCTGAAGACAAAGCATGTAAGGTTACTATCGGTCACATACATATTAGCGAGTCGTCAGTTTCTCGTTTGTTGCGCTCTACCAATAACGTTTTGATAGGCTGCTTTCACATTACACGCCTCACTGCCCAATTCCAATTTTTCACTCAGATCGGATCTTGAGGTTTCACATTAATAATTATAAGGTGACCTGTATCTAACTGTAATGCGAACGCAACTGTCCTACCAAATGGCCATCTGGGTCCCCAACGACAAGAAAACGCATGAAGTCTGCCACTTAGCTCAGCAATGTCTGTCCCGTTGATTGGGTCCCTTGTTTTTTCCTGGACATTAATTGCGTCCTCAGTGAACCAGGAAAGATCTCTGACAGAGTCACATCAAAGCAAAAGGCCTGGACCTGAATGGCCTGATGTAGACAAGGTGGGATGATAGGGATGATTCGCGTGTGGAAATGCTCCTTCGCCACCAGCCCCCCTCCATGAGTTCTCAGTAGAACTAAACCATTTTCCTATCAGTATTATTATGTTTTAACCTTCTTGCTAATATTTTAAGCATTAGAAATAACTGGAATGATGCAAGCAATGTTGAAATCCTATACAATCGGTCACAGCCTGAAGGTGCTGGCTTCATATCCTTCACAGGTCAGTATGTGTCTCCGCTTTGACATGGTTAAGGCCATCATTGTCAAATGTACAGAGGGCCTGCGAGTTGGACCCGACCAGGTCCGGCAGGAAGGCCTGCTGACTCCGGCCCTGATTGTACACGTACACGTCATTGTAGTAATCTGGGTCCAGCTGGTTCTCCATGAAAGTCTGGTCCATGTTCAGCAAGTTCATGTTCTCCAGGTCCAGTGGCATGGGCTCGGCGTGGTGGCCCACGTCGGGGAACATGCGCTGCTGCTGCTGCTGCTGCTGCAGCTGCTGCAGTTGCTGGGACTCGCAGTCGAGGGCCATGGTCACCGAGGGCATCACGATTCCGCTATCATCCATACTCGAGATCATCCTTAAGATATTCTGAAAATCTTCCGCGCTAATATCCTCCCGTTTTGAGTCCAGGGAGGGACTGTAATGGATATCTTTCAAATCTGGCGACGATTGACTGGTAGATGCCCCCGTAAGGTCTGCTACTGAGTAGCTGGGCTCAGCGGTAAGGAAAGAGTAGTCAAACTGGTGGTTGGTTGGTTCAGGTATTGCCTGGTGTTGAGCTAGAGACAGATAATGTAGAGCACAGACAAGGCAATATTAGTGTGATTTAGAAATAAAAAACGGCATTTATATTATGTACACATTATATACAGTAATAGTCCATTTTATTACAAGGCTCTCTGGAATGCTTGATTCTGATTGGTCAGTTGAGACATTTGCAGGTTCGTTCTTTTCAAATAATAACCGCTCCAAAGTAATAACGCATAGCTGGTACTACTTATATGTTTAAAATCCCTCTGCGGCAACAAAGATTACCATTTAAAAATGTTAATTGAAAACAAATATGGCAATAAAATGTTTCAAATTCATATTCATGTCCAGTTTTTTTCCTTATGTGGCAAGTAGCCGTGTAATAAGCGGGATAATGTACAGGCAGCCGGTAGCCTCTAGCTTCGCGTCGGGTCCTGATCACACTGTCGGGGCTTATTTCTGCGATAACTACCGGCTGCCTGTACATTATCCCTTACATATACAATACTAGTCAAAAGTCTGGACACCTAACTTTAATGCATGTCGTCATTATTTTAGCTATGTTATTCACCTAATAGTATAAGACCTTGAGGCAGTGAAATATTGCATCAACCACAACGTCTCAAAATTTTCTCCGTTTAGACTCCTCAAAACAGCCCCCTTTCGCTTCGACGAACTGCAGTACAGCAGACTCTTGGCATTCTTTCAACCAGCTTCCAGATGTAGCCACTCATCCCAAAACAGTTCAATAGGGTTTACATGTGGGGATTGTGGGGGCCACGTCATCTGTGACAGCGCTCCATCTCTTTCTTTGTTCACAAGATAATTACTACATAACAATCCTAAGTACACTTAGGTTATCTTGTTGAAAAACAAACAATTTTCAGTGGGTATGTCTAGACTTTTGACTAGTAGTGTACATTGAACTATACTATGCTTTTAGTATCTCGAATTTGAGTATACCCCCAGGCGAAACCCAAACATTAAGCGCTGGCCCATATGTTTGTTTGCCCAGGTGAGAAACACCCTAATCCAGTGTTTCTCAAACCCGGTCCACAGGGACCCCCGGACAGTCACATGTTTTTGCTCCCTCCCAGCTCCTGGCAGACAGACCTGGGAGGGAGCAAAAACGTGGACTGTCTGGGGGTCCCCAGGACCGGGTTCAAGAAACACTGCTCTAACCATCTGCTTAAGAACTGAACAGTAGTACTTAAAGAGGCAGCAGAAATCCCATAACACACATTCATACAGCAAAAACTAGATACTAAAAGACAGTAAATTAACACCAAACATTTCATGAAAAACCCCAATCCTTACTTGTAACACGGCAGCCATCCTTAAAACTGATATCTGGTTTTATTTTCCTCTTCCGGTTCACTTCATACGGGTCTGCAGAGAGAGTTCCACACATTTAGACAATGTTAAAACTACGTTTCACCATAGCACAGTGCCTTGGAACTAAACTGTGGCCACACTGAAGCAGCTTTTCTGCGACAGAAGGCAGAAGGATGTCAGTTTCATTGAACATTGATTATGAGTGACTTCATTGCTGACCCAAGCTTGGGTCACCCGGTATTAATGACTGGTTACAGTTTTAAAACCATCAAAATAAGCAAGATGGGCTGAAACTTCTCCAAAGTAACAATAATTTCCTTTATGAAACTTTTGCTTTCGGTTAAATCTTCTCCGTGCGAACACCAAGACACATTTATTCACAGACAGATGCCTCAGTTCAGGAACGACCGTTAACATTTGAGGTGTCGGCTGTTTCACAACAATGCGTATGAGTCATAGGGAATTTTGAAGGTTTTGATATGAATATAGCCTTGTTTGTCCAGCAATGTTTTCGATACTAACAAAGCTGAAAAGGCAAAAACCATTTGGCAATTTTATTACATGAAATTCTACCTAATGTATCTAATGGGGTATGTTTAGTAGATATGTGTAAAATAAGCCTTACAAACATGGTAAATATACCATTACAGCGAAAGCGTTTATTGCATAGTTCTTATAATTTGATAGTGTGTAATAAATGAAATAAACCATGAAAGAAAATACTGATTTATGCATGTGTGAACTGAAACCACATCAGTTCAAGCTTTTTTCCTGGGGGATGACAGGAACTACTTTCTGAGTTGCATGTGCAGGAAGGCAGGATGACCTCACCTGGGTTGTGGGGAAGGTAGGTGAACTTGACAGGCTCACTGCTCATGTGGTCAGACAGCCGACGCAAGCAGACATCCACTTCCACCTCTTCTGTGATGTCACGTTCTTGATAGGGCGGAGACTTGAAGACGATGGCAATCTGCCGGTGGACGTCCGTCTGGGCAAACTCTGCCTTGGCCTCCCACTTGTCCCGACTAAAGATGATCTCAATGTCATCTGTGTGAAGTGCAATCAAGGTTAGCTCAGCATCAGAGTGCCGAATCAGCAGACTAGCTTGCCCATATTCGGTGACACTTTAATACATGCTGTGATGCTTTTGTAAATTAATAGTAACGCGACATCTAAACAAATCACCATATCAACAAATAGGCCCTAACATGTTTCTACAAAGACGTCCACAGAGACTTGCAGGCACATGAAACTTCACCTTTCTGCACCTTGTCGCACAACAGGTATATCTCCGTCTTGCCGGTGCAAGGCCCTTGTAGCACGTTCAGACGGTTGATCTTCAGCTCCGATGTGGTGGTTGCTTCTGCGATGGAGAGTAAAGCACGACAGCATAAACACCGACACCTGCTTCGAGGCCAACAAGGAAGCGTGTTCTCAGGCCAACAGCATCGACATGCTGTTCGTTTCCTCAAATGAGCCACGCGGCGGAATTCGGGAAGAATGTGCCGTTGTGAAAATTGATAACCGAGTTCTTATGATACTCAGACTGTCTGAGTCAAAAGAGAATAGTGAGCAGTTACTTTTAGCTCAGCTTGTTCTAAGCTTAGGTTTGGGTTCTTGTGGTATGTTTTTCATTTGAAAAAGAAAACAACTCAATGAAAAAAAAAAGTGTGAAACATGTCATACAGTTGTGCTGATGCTGGCAGCTAGTTACAAGATTAAAGATATTCACACTTGCACTTTGATGGGGCTTCAGTTACACATTGCTGAAGAGAAGATAACAGTGTTCCCATAGCAGTGCTGTTGAGCAATTCTTACACTCCACACCACTGTTGGCAGCATGCTTTCAAGTAGACGGGGGCTTCAGGGGGGAGGGGTGCACGCACAAATGGAGCCTCGACGCTTACTCTTGTCGTAGATGGGGTTGGACACCACAGGACTGAGCTGAACCTTCTCGCCATCCTCCTTCTCCAGCTCGCACTGGAAGCAGAGCCTCACCACATTCATGTCGATGTCTTCTATGCTCTTTGAGTGGTCAGCTGGGGTCGAGTAGAGACCGAAACCACATCAGTATGAAACCTCACTAGCACTTATCACAGGAACAACACCTCCCAATGCTGCCTGTATATACATTTGCTTTTTCGACCTGGTTTGTCCACAGTCCTTGCTGTCTATTTTCAAGTTCTAGTTTAAAGTTTGACTCACAATGAAACCAACAATCAGAATAAAGCTTCAAAGCGTCAAGTAATATCTGTATTGTCTAAACTGTTTTTATTGAATGTTACACTTCAGTTGCATCCTTGACTTATGTTTCTGTAAGAATAAAATTTTAAATCTGACTCCTGAAATTACTGCTTCTGTAAACATGAAATGTAAGTATAATTTAGGCAGAAATGAAACTATGTTTAATATCAGAAAACTGCCTGTGTGGCCGTATGTGATGGAAAGGATGACATACGGAGAGCAATTTGGGAGTGGCTTTGATTAGGCGTGCGTCAGACTCCGTAGCCAAGCATTCATCTTCTTAGAACCCGTTTTTCAGGCTGTGCCTAATCCCTGCTACTGAGAGTGATTGGTGTGCCAAATCAGCCTTAATGTAACATCGCTTAAGACACGTATCAGCAATAGAACAGAGTGATGCAACATGCTAATCGATACTAGCACCTAGGCACACAAAAACACAAAAAGTATGATCACCTTCATTTTGCAGACACGTTTCCAGGGAGTCACCAAGCAACTGAATTAGCTTATAGTTACTGTCCTTTGTTTACTCCCGTGTATTCACTGTGCTAAGATGACATACAAATTACATTGTCTAGATCAGAGGTGGCCAATTCTATCTGCACAGGGCTGATGTGTATGCAGGTTTCTGGGGTAACCTTTAGGTCAGCTGTTCAAACCCCAGTGCGAAGACTCTTCAGCCAATCCGTCCTCTAGTTAGTGACCTAATCAGGGTGTTGCAGTGAAAACCCACACACACCGGGCCTTATCGGATAAGATCGTCCACCCCTGGTCTAGTCTATATTTACACACTGTACATAGCATTGTTATTTATCAGTTCATCTACTGTAAACTGTACATGTAATGTAGTGTTTGTGATAGCATCTGAGGCAGAAATTCCCATCACACAGTGTTGCTGAATACTATACCAGGCATGAACCAGTTTCCATACAATGTTCATACTGCTATAATCCAACAAAATCACAGTAGAGACCTACAGAAAATGGTAGTGAGCACAACTTCCCAGTTTGACTTCTACTATTCGGTTATTTAGTAACTATTGCCCTACCAGTATCACCAATTAGCAGCACTTGAATCCAGTGAGCGATTAAGAGCTGTTTTCTGTCACATAGAGAATCTGTTTCATGAGGGCATGTAACTGCTAGCGTGACCTTAAATCTGCTCGTATTAACTCAGCATTTCAGCTCGTTTGAGCTGAAATGCTCAACAAAAATGCTCAACCGCTGAAGTTTGAAAAAAAAAATAAAAGCTTGCTTTCAGTTCAATAACTTGGCTGATATTCTTCAGACATATTTCACATTGAAGCTGATGATAAAATTGAGGAAGAATTTAAAGCAGTTCCTTCTATCCAGCTGTGCACTCTGACTTTGACAGCCAAACCGGGACACACATTATCAGAAAAACCCTGATACTTTATGGGCTGCACCCCAATGTTGCGTGCAACTGAACTGTGTGTACATTTTTTTTTTCCCATGAGTACATACTGTACAAGCCCCTCCCTGCACTCTGGTCAACATCACGCATCTTATGTGTTTATAAATGGCGGTTCACTGACTATTAAATGGGTCAATCTTCTGTTTCCTTCGTCTCTCCAGGGCAGCATCCAGTTCCTTCCGCCTCACACACTGGATCCCCAAATTGGCAAAGCTGGACGAGTCATACAAGGAATAAGACACAACATTAATGACAACAGTCCTGCATCATCCATGATCTAAAGAGAAAAAGGACATGGAAATATCTGAATATCTGTAGGGGTGAGCTATACAGTGAATTTCGGAAGGGTTAAATGTGTTACAGAAGATATGAAGTCATAGGGAGGGTGGCACACCTGTGCTTTGGCTGGGTGCGAAGGTTGAGGTTGACGACGCAGATGCCATCGTTGCAGTCTTTACCCACGAGACTATGGGGATGTGGCCGGTGAGGGATGTCTTTAGTCACCAGGGACACGGTGATCTTCACCTTCTTCACTTGCCTCAAGTTTCCCCGGATCTGGTACAATAAAGGAGCAGAGAAAGAGGCAGAGATGCTTGGTCATCCCTTTCTTCCAGTTGCCATGAGGGAGAACAGAAGGTGTGTCTGATTATGCTATAGCATGCAAGCTTCATAGACACACTGTTTTGGCATTGCTCTATACTTATGATGCTGGGAGTTTCCTAGAAACTGGAAAGCAGTGACTAAATGAGTGCTCTATACATGGTAATGGCAGTGAGAAGCCTTGAGGCATGCTTCATTATATTTGTAATACGGGAGTTGCGCTCAGGGGGTAATCCCCAGTCTCTGGCAAGGATCTGTCCTTGAGGGACTTTCTATAGCAGTTGCACACACATTTTCCATGCGCACTTGTTTAGAATGAATAAGGCACTGCTTCACAAGTGTCAACCCAAACCACACGGGGAACCCCCCTTTGCAGTGGGATCGATGGTACATTCCAATTTGCCCCAAACCCCTGCAGCCCCAATTCCAAACAAGCTTCTAAACAGAAACCTCCTGTTCAGCCTAATGACGCTAACATTGTAAATCCTTCAGTTAAATCTCCCGCTTTCTCTGCCCCTCCCACCCGAGTGATTCCATTGAGTAATAGCACAAAATATTTGCAAAACAATGCAAACGGTCTGGAAAAAAGCTCATTTTAAACATCTATAGAAGAATGCAAATCATAATAGATTTTAGATGTGTGTTACGCAGGCGAGATGCAGCATTCTAGATTTGAGTGAAATACTATTAATAATGAATCATTCTACGTTCTGACCTCAATCGCTGGGAGGGACTTGTTAGCTTCCGTGCTACCCGCCCCCAGGATGCTGCCAGCCGACCTCCCTTCACACTCGTAGCGGAACCGCATGCCCCGCTCTTTGGGCTGCTCCACAATGGAACACTTCGGTATCTCCAGGAACTTCTCCAGAAGATCGGTGCCTCCGTGGACAGTCCCCATCCTGTTGGGCACTGACGCCTGGATCGCAGAGGACATGCTTCCATGTTTGGAAATGGGAGAGGCCATGGCATCTGGACTGGACTGGCAGATTGGAAACATCAACTGCGAAGGAACAGATGTAAACAATTTACAGAATGGGGGCTATTACAAGCCATGTCAGCTCACACTTACAAGGAATCTGTGTGGCATGATGCTTACAGTGACATATGACAACCGACAGTGAAGAGTAAAGAGAACAAGGTCACTGTAATCAATAACCATCAATGTGCTGAATCCACTGAGAACAACCACAATTCTGCATATACTGAAATCAAACTATAGTAAAAAGTAGTGTACAAGCATACAATACATTTACTAATACTTTTCTTATTTTTGATTTCCATTCAGTAAAACCAAGGACTATATAGGGAATCCATATGCTAACATATCCAACAGAAAGTAATATACTTGAAATATTTCTACAAATTACATTTATATGTCAACTCATACTCACACGAAAACACACAAAGTACATTAAAAGCAGGAACCAAATTGTGAAACAGTTTCTACATCTACAAAAGCTAAATGCAATGTAATTTCTAAAGTTAGCAAAGTAAGTTAGCTTACTGGAAGCATTCACAAAGAAAAAAAAAAAAAAAAAAAAAAACTACATTCGTATTTCTACAGATTTTACGGAACACCGGGGGAGAAAGCTGAGTATTTCCTTAAACAGGCAATAGTCGTGTATTTTTCTTACGTATCTCTATAGATTCACGTGTCCTTGTTTGACCCAAATGCATCTCACCTCGACCTGCCCTAACACTATGCTGCGTATCAGACTTCCTTCCTGTAGTCATACGCGGACCTCACCATGCTTCCGTCCCCTGCCAGTTTCATCTCTGCCTTTGTCTGCTGTGAAATTCTGGATAAGGCGCCGTCACGGAGCACGCCGCGCTAAAAGTTTGCTTCCTCGCGCTGAAAGCAAGCCAAACATACCCTCCCACTCGATTCGGGCTGATCACATACCTTATTACTTGCAACCCGACAGCAGCCAGCTACAAAAGCCCAAACAACCGGAAGATGCCTTTTTCAAAACAAAGAGGGAAGGGAAAAAAAAAAAAACGTAGCAGTCTACATCTAACAAAACAAAAAAGGTTTCTCTTTACTTCTTCCTCCCGAACTCTGGCAATACTTGCAGCTTTTCCAAATATTCTACCATTAAGTTGCCATGAAAAGGGTAAACAGACTCCGGTCCTACTTGAGTTAAAGAACAAGGATATACATGGTCGTTCACCGCGGGGTTTACGTCTGTGTTTGTGTATGCGAAATTGCGAATGTGTGTTTGTGTCCGAGCATGCCCGGGAGCAAGCGGAAGGCATCGACACAAAGGCAGGCTGAGGCAGCCAATAGGAGTATGACTTAAGACAAGGAAGTTGACTCACTTCCGAGATATCCAACCAATCATGGGCCTTGTTGTGGAGCTGGGGGAGTGACCCTGAGTATGCAGTACGTTTTCTCATGACGGCCGAAATCAGTTATAGAATACCGTTAAGAAAAAAGTGAAAGTAGGAATCAAATTACAAACCGTCACACCACCTCTATGACCAACCCCCACCCAGCAGAAACTACTGCCATTAAAAGTACTTCGAGTCAGGCTCTTTTGCTCACACTTTATATCTATTGCCAAAAACTCGAAGGGCTGAATTATGCATGTGGTTGTCCACCATACTACGATCAATACTGATCTAATGCATGCTAAAGTTCTCAAATCCATACTCCATTTACAAAAAGTGCCACCAATACTGTCACCATGCAGTAATAACCATCCTCAAACAAGCAGATTCTCACAAACTAAGAAAAGACTAACTGCCTATCTTTTCAATTTGTAACTGACTTCTCATTAATGATTAAGCCACTGCATAGTGCGACCTATCAGCAGGCAAATGGAATCCAGACCGCTGCTACCTGCCCAGACTGAAAGCTACAGCCATTAAACCATGAACAGCATAATAGGAACACAGTCTGCTGCTTGGGGGGGGGGCGGGTACTCACTTGGGGACCCGTTCCTCTGGCCACCAGTACTGGCTGGGCACGCCGTGCCCGTGATGGAGCTGCTGAGTTCAGCCTGGAGGTCTGAGGAACCTGAGGCGATCTAGGTAGCACCGGGGTGGCTGACATTTTTTCTTCCAACAAATATTCATCAATTAGATCTGCAAGGAATAAAGCCACATTTCATTTATTTGTATTATTAAATATACAAGGTAACATTCAATGATGATTTAAACATTAATAGAGAATAAGATAACCTGCAAAGACCTCATAAATTACATTTCTCCCCTTCACACTGAAAATAAAAGTACCTTTTTGGAGTTTCTTAACATAGACATGGCTTACATTTTCACTCTATAACGGAATATGTAGCATTGTTGGTAAATGTGTTGCCTAGGTAACTTCTATACTAGGAGACTTGTAACTGAAATAAATTTATTGTTTAGGTACTTCACTGCAAAAGTATTTTTCAGAAGTAATTTAAATCGACTGGCCATTTAATACTTTGGACATGCATACATAAAGTTTCCTCGACTATGCTACATACTGCTTAAATGTAATATATAAAAAGAATACTGAAAGCACATATTTAGTGCATTAATAAAGAACTCAGATCTTGGTTATATGCAGGAAAATGGAAATGTAACTAACAAAAACAGCAAATAAACTGGCTGCATATGACACTATTATACAATCCAATAACACCAACGTAATAGATCTCAGAACTCACGCGACGCATGTGTCTGAGGATTTAGCCAAATTTCACTGTATTTTGACCCTGTTCCTCAACCAAACGCGAGCAGCTTCAGCACAGTAACTCAGCCCTTCGCCAAGGGGACCAGCCAAACAATGACGGCATTATATCAAAGCACGCTGTTGTCAACCTAAGTTAAATAGGAAAATGACGGACTCTGACCTACAGGCGCTCACGCATCGAGCGCGTGCCAGCTTAAGGGCACATCCCGACGCGGCACCTCTGCCTTTAACTGCGGCACTGCTCCGTCTCGCTCCAGGCGAGGAGGGAGTGCGCATGCTCGACTGCGCAGCTCCTCGCCGACTTTCAACTTTTAGATAAGGCGATGTCTCAACCCGTCGTGAGGTAGGCCGTGTCCCGCTTTACAGTTTAAGCTAAACTAAATACTGTACACATGTGCAGACAAATATTGATGCCACTGCTTTCAGTTCCAAACCACAAATGAACATATTTAATACATTTAAAAAAGCATTATTATATAGCAGTGTTAATACTGCGACATCACTTGCTTTACAGTTCAAGTTGATACCGTGGCTAAAAAAGAAAACGTACCTAGGTATTCGTGCGATGCGTCCGTGGAGCCCATTTCTCATCGTTTATTAAGAAGCCCCTTTTCAAATATTCAATTTCATTTTATTGCTTTACAGATATTTACCGATTCTTGGTAGTTTGAGATGCTGTTGCGACGCACTTTTATGTCTGGATTTGCATTATACAAATGAATCCAAAACAAATGTCGGCGTTGTTGGAATTAACTTAAACTTGTTTCACTATTCCTCCACAGCTAATTTTAACGTAGGTTTTTGCAGCTAGCTAGTTGTCGTTCCTGGTCCCAGATGATGTCGCACCGCTAAGCGCTGAGCTGAAGTAAATGTGAAGTGCGCCTCTAGCACTGCGGATTTTCGTTTGTTTAAAGTGCACTCCCACTATCATTGTAAGCTATAGATCTCCGCTGAATATTGGTGTAGAAATGTGGAAATCCCCTTACGTCAGTGTTTGGGAAACCCCCAGTACGCGTCTTCATAGCAACCCAGCCCTAAACAGAATACGACACACTTCGTGCATACAAATGTACTAAGCATTGTGGGAAGCATATACTTAATATGCTTAATATAGTAAATATGGGTCTTGTGGGAAAGTAAAATCGAAGTTTGGTAAGTAGTAATAAATCACATTTGCTTTTTTCTGGTACCTAAGGTGACGTCACAACTGGAAAAGCGAGTTGTAAAACCAGGATGTAAGTTTTATTACATAACTTACACTATCAGCTAACCTAACACCTAATTCTGTAGCGCTGTAAGGTGCAATAGAATTTGTAAAGTAGTTAGGTTCTAATTCTAAATGTCTACTTTTTATGCCTGCTCAGCGATTTGTCCTTCCGGAATCCAGTTTAACATCTCTGGATGTTGTTAGTGTTTCATGTTGTGAATGGGCACAATTTTTAAGATTAAGAAAATCTTACCGCTTCTTGTTCAAAGGCAGGCAAGACAAACATGAGTTTCCATGTGTTGCATCACCCTAAGGTGCAATACTACATTACATTCATAGAGGGCACTATTGGCTGTACAATCTACATTAAGTCCAACCATCTGCTAACCGCTATTCCTGGTCAAGGTACTGGGACTTACTAACTCTTAACGTAGTTCAATTATATTTGGTCGTAGTAATTATGAAATAGTAAAGAAAAGAATAGAAAAAAAAAAGAATGGAGATTGAATAAAACTTGAAATAAAAATGTCAAATTTAAAGTAAATGGTCAATGGTAGGCGTCGTTTGTATAATAACTGAACGAAAATGACATATTTTATTGGTCATATATATCGATTACAGAATGTGCTTTTATTAAATGTATTTTTAATCTAAAGTGCAACACGTGGAAATAACACGTAATAACACTGCCATCTACTGGTCGATAATATCCCGACGATGATCGCTTACCAAAAGACACGTGATTAAGTGGCAGTATTTACAGGCCATAGCTGGACAATAAACCGGAAACGCCACTTGAAAAGGGAACCTGACTTTAAATTACAATTTCAATTTAAGTTTTATATTTTTTTCAGCGTTTTATACATCGCAATCCTTCATTTGTTTTTGTTGTTGAATATAGCATATAATACTCATAACTTTGCATATTATTATAACCAGATGGGAGTAGTAGCACTGTAGCCTGACACACAAGGCTTAGAGGTGCGTTTCTTTCGTTTTCCTGTAAGAGCATCAGCAGCATGATGCGGAGACTGTTTTTGGTCGCTCTTCTGCAGTCAGCTGTGCGGCTCTACACCGCCTGGCCGGCGAGCTAAACACGGGTCCAGTAACTGCTCAGCACACTGACGCGTCTCTGATAGCGTTTACTTGAAAACCCCATAAACTGCATATATAAGACTGCAAATACAAACAAAGATGTGCTTCAATTAACATACCTATTGTACTGTGCATACATGTAAACTGCACACATTTTAATACAGATAAACAATCGCTTCAGTAATTTGTCATTAGGCTACTTCTTCAACAGATAAACAAAGATATGGCACGCGGCTGCTACGTGCATTCAGTGCTAGTCACTCCTTAATAGCTATAACTTAACCGTCTAAATATTTATATAAGATGACAAACGCATCCAAAGGAAAGCTATTAGAGTTAGAGAACTGAGGTACCACTGTATTCATAATAAAGTACAGTGGTACCTAAGTACTCGAACTCATTAGAACTTAAATTTCTTAAAAGTTGAACCAACCAGTTCGAAAAAAAATTACCTAGAACTCGATCTGAATCTCAGAAGTCGAACCCTGAACGCAGACCTAAGATAACTTGTACGCACGGGGAAATGAGTCACGTGGCACGTCTCTCAGCGGAAACAAAGTGTAAAGCTTCAGTCTCAGCTTCGCATTGGCTGTGATAGCATCGTGCATGTTTACACTAGCTGAATACATATATTTAGACAGTAAAAATACATTTAGACAATGATAGACAGTAACTAATTATTATAATAAAATACATAAAAAAAATAAGATTTCTTATTATTCTAATATCATTAATAATAAACCATTAATACATTTAAGGTAATACATTTAATTATAATAATATTGTGGTTCCGAGCGGGTCGGAACTGAGACAAAGACGCAGACTTCGGGGAATACGGGGTTTAGTTACAGGTAAGGCAGGCAAAACGCAGACGGACAATAGAATGACCGGACTGGGGAAACAAACTGAAACGCTGACTAAATACAGAGGACTAATGACAACAACGAGAAACAGCTGATCACATGGGTATTCCATACAAGGTTAACGAGAGGGCGTGGCACACGGAAGGAGCGGACAATCATGGCGTTTATTACAAACCACACACTTGCACGGCCCACCATGCTCGTCGCCCCGTTTATTCCTCATACACATGGTGGGCGCACGCACACATAGGCCTACATGCACACTACGTACCAGGGTTGGGGCCATTCCGGAATGCATTGATCAAATCCAGTCCAAATCAGTAAATGGAACTGGAGTTGGGATTGGAAAAAAAAACTATGCGGAACAGAATTGGAGTTGAATTTGAATTTCAGGGAGATTTAAGTTCCAACTCCAATTCCATTTCCTGATTTGGACTGGAATTGATCAATGCATTCCGGAATGGCACCAACCCTGCTACGTACAACAATAAACATTAACCACTATACATAATATAACACACAGCACATTTATAATGACACAAGCGATTACCGAGAACTATTTACAAGCTGGCATCAGTCCAACATGCGTCGCTGCCCGCCGGTACCTCCGCACCATAGTATTTATTTGCTTATAAACTTTGCCCAAATTCTGTCCTAAGTTTTAACTAATTAATAAAAAAATCCCAAAAACACTTAAAGGTATTGAAAATGAATTTAGCTTTAGCAATTTGATGATGCATCCACCTTAATTATTAAAAAGTATCCATATCGGTATCGTATCGGCGATACTTGCCCTGTATTTACTTGGTATCGGATCGATACCAAATCTTGTAGTATCGAACACCACTACAAGGGCGTAACATAGGCGAGCAGGTGGATACGTTTTCACCGTTTTCACTCTCTGAAAGCTCCAACAACAACGAATACCCGTAATTACGCGTGCCTAAAGTCGATGCACGACTCTGCCACTAGGGGGCAATGTCTACCACAACTGGGGCACCACTGTAATCCCAAGCTGCCTGGGAGAGAGTTCAGGTTCCCCGTGACCATCTACTCATCATGGAACTACGGAGACCATGCGGGTACATGTCTGGGTGACTTTTGAAATGCAGTGATGATGCAGCGATCATGAACAAAAATCACCTACAAATAATTTAAACTAATTGGGAAAGCTTAAAGCCATGGGCGAAGTTTTGGGGGAGGCAGAGGGTCGAGTCAGAACTGCAAAACATTGGCAAGACCAGCATTGCACATGCTCTGTGCTGGCATTTTGTTTGCATAAGCAGTCTGCTGGTTAGGTTGCAGGTTGACAAATAATGGTTTATGTGTACATCAGATACGTGCATTAACACATAAGGTAAGCCAGATGCGGATTCCGCCCCCCCAAGCGCAGGCATCAAACTCCGCTTATGCTCAAAGTATCCATTATATGCATGCTTTTTAAAACAAAAGTTTACACCTGAGTTTTTCAAGCGGTCGTGGCTTTATGGCCCCCTATTTCACATGTATTTGGTGGTCTGTGTACTGAGTACAGGCTAGGAAGGATATGTCAGCTTTTCTGAGACAAATGGAAAGTAGATTTGCATAATGGTACATTGTTCAAAAGAACCTTGCCAAGTCCATCTGAGTCTCTAGCCTAGTGGCTACTGCCAGATCAAAATGGCGCCAGATGCCCAACCTAAGACCGCGTTCACCATCGGTTGCAGTCTATGGCACTTCTGGTCGTGCCATTTCAGCTTTGCAGTGCTCCAGTTACCTTCGAGAACTTGATTGGGCGAGTGCCGGCCCACGTCCCCCTTACCCAGTGCGTCACCTACCTTGATGACCTGCTCACCCACACTACCGATTTTGACGGTGCGCTAAATAACCTGCGCACCACCTTCACTGCAATCTGGAAGGCTCGCCTACCCCTCCCTCCTAGGTCACGTAGTGAGCGGTGAGGGCATGGCAGCGGACCCAGGGAAGATCGCTGTGGTCAGAGACTGGTCCATCCCACGCAGTGTTGTGGAGCTCTGCAGCCTACTGGGTCTCACCTAGTACTACCGGAGGTTTGTATGGGACTTTGCCAGTGTCACCAACCCGCTCACTGAGAAGGGGCTGTCCTTCGAGTGGACTGGAGATTTCGGCGCCACCTTTAACCACCTGAGGACTGCACTTACAGAAGCCCCAGTGCTGACGTCCCCTGATCCTACGCTGCCCTTTGTCCTCGACACCGACGCCTACAACGAGGGAGCAGAATTACTACGTGACCCTGGAGATTGTGCAGGCCTGTCGACAATTCTGTCCGTATCTTTGTGGATGGCGCTTCCAGCTGCACGCCGATCACATGTCCCTCGCCTGGTTACTGAGCTTCCGTAACCCTGAAGGACAGCGGGTACGAAGTAAATGGACAACTGGACATGAATATGGGTGTCTGCGAGATCTGCTGTAGCAAAGTTAAATACTGTGGCAAAAGCACTAACATTCGTGTGCATCTTTCCCGACCACAAACACCTACGCAACCTTCCCTTGACTTTAAAGATCCTACCAAGCAATAGTGACAAAGACGAGCAGATAACCAATGACAATGACATTCTGCAAACAATTCCACTTAAGTTTAGTATTTTTCAAACTAAGGCATTGTTTTTTTTCAGTTCACAGTCTCAGTTGTCAGTTTTAATTTTGATTCCTTGCTTGTTCTCAGTAGCAAACACACTGAATACTGTAAAGGTGGCCATTACCACCCCTATTGCCACCTCACATCAAAATAATTAAAACAAAATATGGGTTATTCTACCATCTAAGCAGAAACATAGAAGCCACACAGGGGGGTCATCCCCATAAATATAACTGGCCCCTGATCGCCACCCCAATCAAAATGTTCTGCAGGCATCACTGCACATGAGCGAAAGCTGCTAAGTGGAATTCGAACACGTCACTGTGTAATAGCCCATCTGTGGTTTTCTTGTAATCTTATGGAATAACTGGGAGAGCTGCACACAGAATGGCCGGCAGGCAGTATGAGGGCAATCAAAATGAGACGCAGTTACAGGGACAGAAAGTGGCTGTTCATGAGCCACACTGGCTGATGACATCATCAGTGTACAGGCCAAGGGTCAAAATCCAAAGGGCAATTAGAGAGGCGGAAGTAAAGGGGCAATGGTGGTTCAAAAAATTCTCCCACGATACTTTATTCATCGCCATGCAAATGTATGTGTGGAAAACCTATTTTTAAATATAGTGCGTGAACAAGTTTTCCAGTCAGCTCTGAATAAGTGCA